CCCCCCCCCCCCCGCCTCAAATTCAGATGGGAAGGTTCACTAAAGCCTGTCTGAATTAGTGGGGGTACAGATGTTTGTGAGAGATTGCATATAATAGACAGGGCAGCAGCACCCTCTGCGAGGAGGTGAGATATCAACAAATCCTTTGATCCAAGGTATTGTCCTGCCAAGTTTGCTTGAGATTGTCCCAGACCTATAGATTGAACAGGATCTGAGATTTAGAGATGTTTATGATTCCAAGTACCTGATGCCCTTGTCCTGCCATTTGATGGAAAGTGTGGGTTTGGAAGATGCTGTAAAAGTTCTTCATGCTGGAGGTTGTTCACCAGCAAGCAAAGAAAATTTCCAAATGCAGATTTTTGGTGGTGAACATTTACTTATTTACAAAACTCCACTCTGCCATCCAATTCAGGCTGTTTACTTGGACGTTTTACAGTCATCACATCCCATTTTGTCTCAAGACACTCTCACTTGGGGCAGAGTGTCCCTTCAGTAGTAATTGACATTTCTCAGTCTTACTTACCAGCATATGAGCAGACGCAGCACAAAATGTGGAATATGACATCAAGTTGGGCTGGCGTTTTGAATATTATAATATTGAGCCTCAAGGAAATATTTGGGAGGAACAACACAAAACCTCTGCAGATGCGCCTTTCATGACTCTCTCTGTTTCTGAAGTCTGCTAATCTCTTCATCGTTTACTACATTTCCAATATTTTTGTCATCCTAAAATTTGAAATTCTGCAGCACATAACCTAAATATTTTTTATCAAATTGTTATGGCACAATCTGGGACAGGTGGGGCTTGTACCGAGGCTTCCTGGCTCATATGTTGTGGAATACGACTGTACCTCAAGAGCCCATGTGCCGCATGCCCAACTTCAAGTAATTAATGGTTATCAGATGGTCCTGTTCAACTTGGGACGATAAATCGTTTGTGCCTGGATTAGTACAGCTCCAACAACACTCAAGAAAGCTTGATGCCAAACAGAATAAAGCAGCCTGCTGAATCAGTTCCTCATCTGTCATCCTAAACCATCACTCTTTCCATCATTGACACGCTGCAGTAGTAGCATGTAGTATCCACAACATCTAACACCTTGTCATGCCTCAGCATCTCCCAACCCAACAATTGATACCATCGAGAAGGACAAGGACACCCCAACATGGGAACACCACCACCTGCAAGTTTGCCCTCCAAGCCATCTACCATACTGACTTGGAAATATATCGTCATTGCTTCACCATCACTGACGTAAATCCTGAAGCTTCCTGTAATTGCACTGTGAGTGTACTTACATCACATGGACTGCACCAGTTGAAGAAGGCAGGTCACACCACCAAGGGCAGTTAAGAATGGGCAATAAATGTTGACCTGGCCAGCCGTACCCATATCCATGAATTAGAGAAGATACTGAGTCCCAGGGATCCCATCATATACCTCACTGCCGTCTAAAAGACAATTGTTCACTACCAACATTCTATTATTGCTACTGTCCCTTTACCTCTCAGATTTCTTTGCAAAATTAAGTCCCTATAAAACATTTCTTCAGCAGCAACTATATGAAAATCCACCTCCACTTTGTCAAATGCACTACTTCATACTGTTAGTTTAGCCAGGACCACAAATCAAATTTGTCAGATGAGAAGATATATATTTTAAAAAAAGAACTGTTCACCTGTATTAATTCACACATCTTTTTTTCACCCGGATGACAGTGGTGGTCTCCAAACATTTTACCACTGCTGTCATTGGATTGGCCCTGCATCCATCTTGTATCAGTCCTGTTTAGAGCTGGTCTCGATGCCCAGGGAATTTGAAGCCCTCCATCCAGCACCATTTTTCCAGTCACATATCAGCCAGGTCTTATTTTACTGCTCCTACTCTCACCAGAAGGAGTGTCACCCAGGAATTTAGCACCTTTGAGATTCTGCTCTTTAGTTTCTTCAGCAGCCAAAACTTTAAGGCACAAAAACAAAGTTGCTGGAAAAGCTCAGCATGTCTGGCAGCAGAAAAGACAGAGTTAACATTTTGGGTCCAGTGATGCTTCCTCACTGAGGTACCCAAAATGTAATGAAGCATTCCAAGGAACTTAACAGGAGCATTGCAAAACAAAAACTTCATCAATCCACGCATGGGTATTACTACAGATAACCAAAAGTTAGACGTAGGTAGATTTGAATAGTAGTCTTAAAGGAGGAGAGAGGTGTTTGGTGGTGGTGGTGGGGTGGTGGGTTGGGGGTAATATCCAAGGCATAGCGTCCAATTTTAAGTACTCGTTCAGATGCTTCTTAAATGTTGTGAGACTACCTGTCTCCCACCCTCTCAGGCAGCTTGTCCCATACTTCTTCCACTCTGGATGAAAATTGTTTTCCTCAGATCTCTAAACCATTTACTCTTCACTTTAAGCTTGTGTTCTCTGGTCTTAAACATGTTTGCCAATGGGAAGAGATTCTTGCGATCTACTCTGTCCTTGCCTGTAATTCTGTATACCTCATTCAGACCACCCCCCGGCCTCCTCTGCTCCAATGAAAAAAAATCCAGCCTATCCAGTCTCACCTCATAGCAGAGAGAGCCTACCACCATTCCACCTACCTCCCCCAGCCCCACCCCTCCTCTCTATTTATTTCCCAGTTCCCTTCCCCTTCTCCATTTCTGAAGAAAGGTCCTGACTTGAAACGTCAACTTTCCTGCTCCTAATATGCTGCCTGGCCTGCCGTGTTCCTCCAGCTCCACACTGTGTTGGCTCACCTCATATCGGAGACTTTTCATCCCAGGCAATATCCTGGTGAAACATCCTCTCCAGTACAATCACGTCCTCCTGATATTGTGGCACACAGAATTTCATTTGTGGCTTAACCAATTCTTTATACTGTTGTAATAAGACTTCCTTGCTCCTGTATTCTATGCTTCAGCTAATGAAGATAAGCATCTGTTTTGCTTTCTTCGCCACGCTATCTTATATAATAAATAGCAAGGGTCTCAGCACTGATCTGTGTAGTACACCCCCTGGTCACAAAAACAATCCTCCACCTCACCCTTTGCAAGCCAAGTTTGGATCCAGTTTCCCAATTTGCCTCAGATCCCATGGCTTCTACCTGTTGGACCAGCCTTCCATGTGAGACTTTGTCAAAGGCCTTACTGAAGAAGTCCACGTAAACCACATCCCTCATCCACATATTTAGTAATATGAATAAAAATTCTCAAAAAATGTAATTAAATTAGTCAGACAGGATTGCCCTCTAACAAATCGATGCTGACTATCCTTGATCAATCCCTGCCTTTCCAAGTGTTGATTAATCCATCCCTCGGAATTTCTTTCCAGTAATTTCCCTAGCATAGATGTCAGACTAACTGGTCTGTAATTACCTGGCTTACCCCTATTGACCTTCGTGAACAAAGGAACCACATTAGCTATCCTTAGTCTTTTGGCCCTTCACCTGTGGCCAGCGAAGTATTAAATATTGCCACTAGAGGCCGCACAATCTCCTCCCTTCTCCCACATCAGCCTGGGATATATCTCACCAGGCTGTGAGGATTTATGTCCTCTAAAACTTCTAATACTTCCTTCTTATTAATCTGAACAAGTACACAAATCCCACCATCCCAACTGAAATCCCAGGCTGCAATGTCCTTCTCTTTTGTGAATGCAGACAAAAAGTATTCATTGAAGACCACACTCATCTCCTCTGGCTCCGAGCACAGATTACCCCTTTGGTCTCTAATAGACCACACTTTTTCTCTCGTAACCCTCTGAATATATTTATAAAATGCCTTGGGGTTTTCCTTAATCTCATCTATCAAAGATATTTTGTGGCCCCTCTTTGCCCTCCTATCTTTTTTTAAGTAACCACCTATACTTTCTATACTTCTGAATAGCCTGCCCTGTTTTTAATGGACTGTACCTGACATATGCTTCATTCGATTTCTTTGTCAAACTCTCGATATTACGTGACATCTGGGGCTTCCTGGACTTGCTGTCCTTGCCCTTCATTCTTAGAGGAACATGATGGCCCCGAGTTCTCATTATATTACTTTTAAAAGGCTCCCACTTTCCAAATTTAGACTCAACTGCATGTCTATGTTTGTCAAATCATGCCTAATGATATTGAAATCGGTCCTTGCCCAATTTAGACACTCCTGCGCTATCCTTATTCCTTTCCAAAATGACTTTGAAATTTACAGAATTATGGTCACTATCCCCAAAATGCTTGCCTGCTGGAACTTCAGTCACTTGACCAGCTTCATTCCCTAGGTCTAGCGCTGCCCCATCTCTAGTAGGAACAAAAACAAAGTTGCTGGAAAAGCCCAGCACGTCTGGCAGCATCTGTGAAGGAAAAAACAGAGTTAATGTTTCAGGTCCGGTGACCCTTCCTCAGAACCCATCACTAGTAGGTCTATCTAGGTACTGGCATGAAAAGCTCTCCTTTAAAAATGCACTTTAAAAATTCCACATCTAATCCTTTTCTGCTATGACAGTCTTAGTTAATGTTAGCAAAGTTGAAACTCCTTATAACTGTACACCTCTTTCTCTCACACCTTTCGGTGATTTCCATAAATATCACCCCGCAACTCCCTCGTCCGCTCCACACTCCCAACCAACCCCTCCAGCACACCTGGTACCTTCCCTTGCAACTGCAGGAGGTGCTACATCTGCCCCTATATCTCACCTCTCACCTCCGTCTGAGGCCCAAAACAATCCTTCCAATCCGGCAGAGATTCACCTGCACTTCATCTAACCTCATCTGCTGTATCCAATGCTCCCGATGTGGTCTCCTCTATATCGGGGAGACCAAACGCAGACTCAGGGACTGGTTTGCGGAGCATCTGCACTCTGCACACACCAACCAATCCGACCTTCCTGTTGCCATCCACTTTACCTCCCCCTCCTACTCCCCTGGTGACATGTCCATCCTTGGCGTCCTCCACTGTCAGAGTGAGGCCAAATGTAAACTGGAGGAACAATACCTCATATTTCGCCTTGGGAGCTTACAGCCCGATGGCCTGAATATTGACTTCACCAGCTTCAAAATCTCTCCTCCCCCAACCTGTCCATCTTCCTACTCATCTATCCGCTCCACCCTTCCCACTGACCAACCACAATAACCCCCTACCTGCATCCATCTAGATCCATCTTACCTACTCTCCCCCCAGCCATATCCCCTCCGTCTATTTATTTCTGGGCTCCCCTCCCCCTCCTTAGTCCTGACGAAGTGTTTTGGTCAGAAACATTGACTTTCCTGCACCTTGGATGCTGTCTGACCAGCTGTCCTTTTCCAGTTCGACATTTATTGACTCTAACTTTCAGCATCTGCAATCCTTACTGTCTTCATAAATATCTGCTCCTGTATCTCCTCTGTCTATTGGGAGGTCTGTTGTATAATCCAAGCAAAGTAACTGCCACTTTTTTTATTTCCAAGCTAACATTCCTTCCTCATTACTGCAGTAATGGTTTCCTTTATGAATAATGCAATGCTCCGACCTCTCTTAAATTGCTTTTTAAACCTCTAAATTCTGGAATGTTGAGCTGCCAGTCCTGTCCTTCCTTAAACCATGTTTGTGATTGCAACAATATCATATTCCCATATGCTGATCAATGCTCTAACTTCACCCATCTTACCATTCAAGCCCCTTGCATTAAAATAGGTAGAATTTAGATTTCGAGACCTCCAATGTGCCTTAAGGTTTTTCACAGGGATACAATCAGATAAAATCTGATACCAAGGTGCCTGAAGGTTGTACGATTTGAGAAAAGAGGAAAAAAAATGGAGAGATTTACATGGGGAATTTCAGGGCTTGTGACTAAGCAACTAAAAGCACAACAGGTGATTAGAATTCAGGCAGTTTATTGGATGAAAGCTGGCGGAGTGCAGAGATTTCTGAACTATGTGTAGCTGGTGGAGACTGCAGACACGAAAAGGCACTTGTCCATGACATGTTGGAAAGCAAAGATGAGAATTTTACAAAATAAGATATTGCTTGTTCAGGACTAATAGGTCAGTAAGCACAGGGGCTCGAGGTCAACACAACATGGTGTGGGTTAGGATACAAGCAGCAGGTTTCGAGGTGCTCACATTTATGTAGGTTGCAAGGTCAGCAGAAAAACACAGATTTTTCAAGTCTAGATGTAACTAAATGATAGGTGAGGGTTTCAGCAGCACGAGCTAAGGAGGAGCAGAGGCGAATTATGTTACTGAGGTAAAGGAGGTACGTTAGTGACAGCACAGATATGGGTTTAATATTTATATCTAAGTATTGATAGATGAATTTGAATTTTAGAACCAATTCTTAGTGATGTTGCTGAGGGCCCAGTGAACTCATGTTTGACTTGATCTCAGGCATGTTGTCGAGCACTGCTGTTAATCTGAGCTTCGCAGAAGGGGTAGGAGGGGCACTGAAAGTGATCATTTTCTAGTTCTGTATAAGAATGTTGTATTTAAACCATGTTGTTATTTCTCTGCAGTTACATTCAGGGACTAGAATTATAGAAATTAAATGAGCAGCTAAGGATTTCTTTATCTTAGAGTAAGGGGTAATCAATGAAGGTTTGTAAACAGTGACAAATCCAATGAAGCTATTTTGGCTCAGGTTATGATTTGAGACATGTTAGCCCTGTCAAATCAAGGCTCATGAATGATCCTTTACAAAATACACTTCCCTTTAATAGACTTGTCTTACTTTACAAATTCTTGGCATTCTAACGCGACAGTGGCTTCAATAGGTGGAAGAGGATAATAAATGTGGAACATATATGGAAGAGAGAAATAACACTGAGTGTTCGGTCATTGCTATATATTGTGCATTTTGATGAGTAATTCAACAAGAGAATTTGTACAGAAGTTAATTATAGATGGACAGTATGCTTCTCACATTCTAAACATTATGGACATAAGACATCCATTAATACTAAGTGGTTTAATATTTTACTTCATTACACTGTATAAATAATTTAGAACAAAGCCAGAAATGTAGAACTATCACTTTATTATTAAAGTCAAAATCCATGACTTTCAGTCACCTTCCTTCTGTGTACTACGTGAATGTTTATCCTTCCACACACACTGGCAATGCTTATCATTGAAGACCTTCCCCGCAGCACAGGATCTGCTGTGGTAACTACAGGCAGGTCTATCCACACAACTGTAACAGAATAAAGAGTGGCTTAAAAACGCTGTCAATCAATTTACAATTTCAAAATTAATTAATGCCCAAGGAGACAAGGCCTCTTGTTGATAATCTTATGAAGACATGGGCACAATAACATTTACATATAGTTCATTGATCAACATCCTAATGCATTTTGCAAGAACCTAATGAAACAAAATGTAGCATCGAACCACATAAAGATATACTAGGGCTGACAACTAATGGCTTGATCAAGGGCATAGATTTTGAAGAGAGTTTGAAAGGGGAACAGAGAGGTAGAAACACAGAGATTTAAGGAGAGAATCAGAAATTTTAGGACATTGGAGCTAATAGTGCAGCAATTGAAATCAGAGATATGCAAGAGGCCCATATTAGACAGAAAACTCAGAGGGTTGTATGATGGATAATACAAAGGCACAGAAGAATTTGAAAACAGGGATGAGAATTGTAAGATTAAGGTGTTGCTTGATAAGGAACTGATCTAGATCAGAAAAGAAAAACAGCAAGTGCTGGAGAAACTCAGCAGCATCTGTGGAGAGGCAAACGGAGTTAACATTTTGAGTACAATGACTCTTCTTCACAACACTCAGCAAGGCAAATTGACAAGAATGAGGAAGGAAAGTCACCTAGGATGTAGATCAGCAATCATGCAGGCTGAATGGCATTCAGTGAGAGTTCAGACATGGGCATCAGAATTTTAGATGATCTCAAGTTTACAGAGGGTACAACATGGGAGAGTGGCCAGGACTGTGGTGGAATAGTCAAGTCTAGAGGCAACAAAGGCATGGATAAATGTTTTAGCAGCAGTTTTAGACTGAAAAGAAAGATTTTATGGTGGGACTGTTGACGAGCAGTGGAGGACTTTCAAAGCAATTTTTCAAAGTGCTCAGCAAAAGTATATTCCAATGAAAAGGAAGGACTGTAAGAAAAGGGGCAATCTGCCATGGGTGTCTAAAGAAATAAGGGAGGCTATCAAATTGAAAGAGAAGGCATACAAAGTGGCCAAAAACAGCATGAAACTAGAAGATTGGAAAAACTTTAAGGGTCAACAGAAAGCCACAAAAAGAGCTATAAAGAAAAGTAAGATAGAACATGAGAAAAAACTAGCACAGAATATAAAGACAGATAGCAAAAGTTTCTATAAATATATAAAACGAAAAAGAGTGGCTAAAGTAAACGTTGGCCCTTTAGAGGATGAGAAGGGGAATTTAGTTATGGGATATGATGAAATGGCCAAGGCATTGAACGGGTATTTTGTATCGGTCTTCACAGTGGAGGACACTAATAACATGCCAGTAATTGACAAAGAGACGAAGGTAGGTGAGGACCTGGAAACAATCATTATTACAGAAGAGGTAGTGTTGGGCAAGCTAATGGAGCTAAGGATTGATAAGTCTCCTGGCCCTGATGGAATGCATCCCAGGGTACTAAAAGAGATGGCGGGAGAAATAGCAGGTGCACTGGCGGTAATTTTCCAAAATTCGCTAGACTCTGGGGCAGTCCCAGCAGATTGGAAAACAGCAAATGTGACACCACTTTTTAAAAAGGGAAGTAGACAAAAGATGGGGAATTATAGACCGGTTAGCTTAACCTCTGTAGTGGGGAAGATGCTTGAGTCTATTATCAAGGAAAAAATAGCAAGGCATCTTGATAGAAATTGTCCCGTTGGGCAGGCTCAGCATGGGTTCATGAAGGGCAGGTCATGCTTGACAAATCTTTTGGAATTCTATGAAGACATTACGAGCGAGGTGGACAATGGGGACCCAGTGGATGTGATGTACCTAGATTTCCAAAAGGCCTTCGACAATGTGCCGCACAAGAGGCTACTGCATAAGATAAGGATGCATGGCATTAAGGGTAAAGTATTAGCATGGATAGAGGATTGGTTGACTAACAGGAAGCAAAGAGTGGGGATAAATGAGTGCTATTCTAGCTGGCAGTCAGTGACTAGTGGTGTGCCTCAGGGATCGGTGTTGGGACTGCACTTATTTACAATTTATATAGATGATTTGGAGTTGGGGACCACGTGTAGGGTGTCAAAGTTTGCAGATGACACTAAGATGAGTGGCAGAGCAAAGTGTGCAGAGGACTGTGAAACTTTGCAGAGGAACATAGATACATTGAGTGAGTGGGCAAAGGTCTGGCAGATGGAATACAATGTAAATAAATGTGAAGTCATACATTTTGCTGGGAGTAATAGTAAAAAGGATTATTACTTGAATGGTAAAAAGTTGCAGCATGCTGCTATGCAGAGGGACCTGGGTGTCCTTTTGCATGAATCACAGAAGGTAGGTCTGCAGGTACAACAAGTAATTAGGAAGGCAAATGGAATTTTGTCCTTCATTGCTAAAGGGATTGAAATAAAAAGCAGAGAGGTTACGTTGCAGCTGTACAAGGTGCTGGTGAGGCCACACCTGGAGCACTGTGTGCAGTTTTGGTCTCCTTACTTGAGAAAGGATGTACTGGCACTGGAGGGGGTGCAAAGGAGGTTCACTAGGTTGATTCCGGAGTTGAGGGGGTTGGCTTATGAGAAGAGACTGAGTAGATTGGGATTATATTCATTGGAATTTAGAAGATTATGGGGGGATCTTATAGAAACATATAAAATTATGAAGGGAATAGATAAGATAGAAGTAGAGAGGATGTTTCCACTGGCAGGTGAAGCTAGGACAAGAGGGCATAGCCTCAAGATTAGAGGGAGCAGATTTAGGACTGAACTGAGAAGGAATTTCTTCACCCAGAGGGTTGTTAATCTATGGAATTCCTTGCCCAGTGAAGTAGTTGATGCTACTTCAGTAAACGTTTTTAAAGATAAGGTAGATTTTTTTTGAACAATAAAGGAATTAAGGGATACGGTGAGAACGCGGGTAAGTGGATCTGAGTCCACGAAAAGATCAGCCATGATCTTATTGAATGGCGGAGCAGGCTCGAAGGGCCGGACAGCCTACTCCTGCTCCTAGTTCTTATGTTCTTATGTGAGCTGAGGCAGAAGCAGACACAGGCAATGCTGCAGAGATGGACCTAGGTTTAGGCCAGAGAAAGGAGTCTGTTGTGGAGACTGGAGACAATGGCTTCAGACTTCCCAATATTTAATTGGAAGACATTTCTGCTTATCCAGTAAGGAACAAGTAATCTGACAAATAAAGACTTGGAGGAACAAAAACTAAGTTGCTGGCAAAGCTCAGCAGGTCTGGCAGCATCAGTGAAGAAAATGTCAGAGTTAATGTTTTGGCTCTAATGACCCTTCCTCAGAACCTGTTCTGATTTGAAGGAGGAGTTGCTACCAGCTGAAGTGTTCACAATATTGGCTAACCTAGCCACCAGGAGGGGACATGGGACGGGGGTCAGCAGTTTAGTTGAATTGAGGTCAAGGGAGCAGAAGGTGTCTCATAGATAAGATGAGCCCAGACAGAGCTTGAGAGGAGAGAAGTTTCTGATGAGTTCAGGAATAGGACAGGAAAACACAGAAGTAAGTTTACCCCAGTAGGATAGAGGAAGGATGACATAGATAACCACAAGCTCCTTACACTTACTGTTACAGTAAGGGAGGAAGGGAGAGGCATTCCAACACTGTGTGCCATTAGCAACACCAACTGCTGGTTATGTGCTCCAGCCATGCATGGTGTTGGATAGATGTGTCCATTCAAGTCTGCAACCCTTCAACTTAAGGGAGAGGAGATGAACACTATACTTGAGCAGCGGCCAAGATTGAAGAGTGGGGACCCGTATCAAAAATGAAGATGAGGATGGGTTTCAGCAAATCAGAAGCTGCATAAATGTGAGAAATGAAGGGCCATAGGTTAGCCAGTTGTAAGTAATTTGGGAGAGATGATATTTTTTATCCCCAAAGGAGGACACAGAATGGACTAGGGTTGCAGTACGATTGTGGATGTGGGTGCAAAGTGATACAAGGAAATGATCAGAGATAGCCTTAACTGTTAAAAGACACAAAGGGGGTCGTGAGGCCAGTTTCTGCTGCCTTTGTCCTTCCAAATGGTAGTGCACTTGTGTTTGGAAGATGTTATCAAAGGAATCTTGGTGAGCTGCCCCTGTGCATCTTGTCGATGGTTCACACTGCGCATTGTTGGTGGAGGGCGTGAATGTTGGCTAGTTTGTATAGAGGGAGGCAAAACAGTAAACTCCAAGGAGAGGGAATCTGATCAATTGAAATGCAGTTCGAAATCCCCAGAAGATGGTCACTCAATGAAGACATTAAGGGAAGAAATGAGCGAGCATATACACTTTTATGAACATTTCTATGCTACTCAGGCAGCTGTCAGAGGCTGAGGTTTTTAAATGAGAGTACCCTTTAAAAGAAAACAACATTCCAAAAAATCTTACAGGAATTGGAATTTCACAGGATTTGGAATTTCACCCAAAGACTTTGTATTTTATGTTAAGAACAAGTTTAACTGCAGAAGATGGGCCTGTCTATTATTAAACTGGAGAGGGTTCAGAAAATATTTACCACAATGTTACCGGGAGTGGAGGATTGGAGAAATTCTGGAGAAATAGACCGGAAAGGCTGGGATCTTTTTCACTGGAGCGTAGGAGGTTGAGGGGTGACCTTATTGATGTTTATAAAACCATGAGGGGCACGGATAAGGTGAATGACAAGGGTCTTTTCCCTCGGGTTTGGGAGTTCAAAACAAGGGGGCATATTTTTAAGGTGAGAGGAGAAAGATTTTAAAAGGACATGAAGGCAATGTTTTTATACAGAGAATGGTCTGTGTGTGAGATGAACTGCCAGAGGAAATGGTGGTTGCAGGTACAGTTACAACGTTTAAAAGATGTTTGGATATGTTCATGAATAGGAACGGTTCAGAGGGATATGGGCCAGGAGCAGACAGGTGGGACTAGTTTAGTTTGGGAGCAGGTTGGCATGGACTAGTTATCTGTTTCCATGCTGTATGACTATGACTCTATTTATCAATGTTGAAGTACTGGCAATGCCCTCTGGCTTTACACTAAACAGCAGCTTCAGCTTTTCACTTCCCAATGCTGAGCTCACCCTACAGCAGCCCAACATGATGGCTCTTACATAGTGACCACTGCAGCTGTTCAGTCAGGAGAAGCTGTTGAGTGCAAGTGGGAGGCCCACAGACATTAACAAAACCTGAACCTCAAATGAGTTGACCTCCTGATTCTACACCACATTGAAACATACGCCAATGCTAAAACTTGTTGCCCAAAGTGCCACATCTTTAAAGAACTACTGCACTGTCTTGATAATCTAAGGAGTCAGCCCCATCATCATTCCTGAGCGTTGAACTTCCATTGACTTGGTTAAAATACTGCAGTGACTTGCCCTGCCTTTTTAACTGCTGGCTAACCTGGGCACCAGGAGGGCACTTGGGGTGATCAGCAGTTTAGTGGAATTGAGGTCAAGGAGCAGAAGGTGTCTCACAGATAAGATGAGCTCAGACGGAGCTTGAGAGGAGGCAGGAGAAAAACCAGAGCACATGATGAGTTTAGGAACAGGATGGGAAAACATCCACTTTTACCGCCAGCTGCCAGGTATGTTGGAAGGATTTGCAGGCTGGTAACCAACCCATTGGACCATGTTAGATAGGTACCTTGGAGTGGGATTCAAACTAGGAACAGGTGACCCAGAGAACTGGGCACTACCCATTTCCTTTCTATTGAATGGGAAAACCAAACTGACATTGCTTTTCCCAGATCGGATCTGGATCATGTGATGGACATGGCTGACCCCATGTGATATCAGCTGCATGGACCCTTACGTTTGGTATAAATATGTTTATTCTCAGAATCCCACTCCTGACTGCTATCGGGGGGAGATTGGTGTGGCAGCTTCCCGGCTTTGGACAAGATTTTCTAACAATCTCTGTGCAATACAAAGACTGGGAAACAAGTGAAAAGAAATGTGGAATTGTGCAGTTTAATGTAGAAATGTTACAGATTAGAGTACCCCATAAGGCACCCCATCCAGCTAGCCAATGATGATGCGTTGCCAAAATCAAGAATGCATTGGAAAGTTGTGATTATTTTCATTGAAATGCAATCTGTTTCCAATCCTTCTACAATATCAATATTGTTGGATGACATCAGCAGCAGACTGCTTGTCACTTTTGTGTGAGATTCCTGGTTTGTGTCAAAAGAAATTTAACCACTCTGCCTGTAGGAAAATGACCAACAGAGTCTGAAATTGTGTCACAAGAAGAATACATTTGGTCAGAAAGTTACAGAACTTATTTTTATTTAGGGTGTAAGGGAACCATGGCCTCCCAATGCTTTGGAGATTCGAGCTATATGCAATTCAGCTTGATGAGCTAAAGCACAGAATAGAGTCATAGAGTCATGCAGCACGGAAACAGACCCTTTGGTTCAACATGTCTACGCCAACCAGACATCTCAATCTGACTTAGTCCCATTTGCCAGCATTTGGCCCATACCCCTCTAAACCCTTCCTATTCATATACCCATCCAGATACCTTTTAAATGTTGTAATTGCACCCATCTCCACCACTTCCTCTGGCAGCTCATTCCATACACACATCACCCTCTGCATGAAAAAGTTACCCCTCAGCTCCCTTTTAAATCTTTCTCCGCTCACCTTAAACCTATGCCGTCTAGTTTTGGATTCCCCTACCCTGGAAAAAAGACCTTGGCTATTCACCCTATCCATACCCCTCCTGATTTTCTAAACTTCGGTAAGGTCACCCCTCAGCCTCCGACGCCCCAGGGAAAACAGCCCCAGCCTATTTGGCCTCTCCCTATAGCTCAAACCCTCCAGTCCTGGCAGCATCCTTGTAAATCTTTTCAAATAGTCTTTGCCAACATAGAGACTGTTTATTCCTCTTGCTGCTTCTGTTTATAGCTCTCACATCAACTCAGTTACCCTCAGTGATCCTACCTGCAGGAATCCGGGTCAAACACTTTTTGTTTCTGCGAGCAAGTTTCATGACTTTCCATGTTCCTGCATACACAATCACACAGTTCCTCGTTGAATTCCATATAAGGCCCACAGATGGCCAGCTCTGCAATGGGAGAGAGTTCTGGACAAAAAAGAGACACATTTGAGAGGGTGCAATGCAGACTGATGTACTTGGAAAAGTGCAAGATGTTTGAAATAGCGAGTTTAGTCACCATCTTCTCTTTGAACGGTGGAGGTGACACAGTGGCATTTCTCTTTATCCCAGACCAGGCCCCTGGAGCAGTGATTTTCATCATACAGACAGCTGGAAGTCAACAGGAGCAGACTGTTAGTCCTTGCCCCAGTCTTTGAATCCACAATGTCTACCACATTGCATTCTGAAATTAAGCAAACACTGTGTCTATTCATTGTATTGTCCCCTTACAAAAAATAGAACATTCACTCTAACCTCATCAAAAGTAAACAGCTACTTGTTGTATCAAAAGTAGCTCTCGATGCACACAGTTCACATATCCAAACATGAACTATGATTCAAATAGGATTCTTATTGTTCAGTCCCTCAGAATTGTTACACAGATTTGCAATTCCTTTCTCAGCTGACCTTGCTGGTGCTGTTACTTTGCACTCTAGGACAATGGAAAAGCATTTGTTTAATTCCTCACCAATATGACATGTTCAAAATGGTTGTAGCTTCTTCAAAATACCAGTGACCTATTGCTGACTGTAGTCACTATTACTTTGTAGGCAAAAATGGGAGCTCAGTTATGGCCCAGATACAGAGATGTTTGAATAAGCAATGTATCTGTCATTTACTAGTATGGTACTTGACTATCACTGTTAAAGGTCACATTTTGTCAAGGCTTTTCTTCTTTCACTCATCCGGATAATTCACGAGAATTACCAAAATAAAAGGGAAACGTCATGTTTTATACCGAATGAGAAGGGGGTGCTGACTGGTTGACAAGTGCATTCTGCTTAGTAAAGGCATTGCCGCAGGTTAGATTGATGACTGACAGTTAACTGCCAAGCTTTGTTTACATTTTAAACCAGCAAAGTTGACTGTAATTGGTCAAAGCATTGCCCTGAGAGATGACCAAGAGATGGCTGTCAGCTATTTTGTTGCCTTCAAAGAGGTGGAGTGTATGTACATGTTGTTCCTGTCTTTCACTCTGGTTTTTTTGATGTTGAATCAGGAGATAGGATTATCCGAATATGGGGTCTGTCGTCCCCCAAGGAGAATTGGATTGGGACATCATGTTGTGGCTATACAGGACATTGGTGAGGACACTTTTAGAATACTGTGTACAATTCTGGGTTGCCCTCCTATAGGAAGGATTTTGTTAAATTAGGGTACAGAAAATAATTTACAAGGATCTTGTCAGGACTGGAGGGTTTAGGTTTTAAGGGGAGGCCAAATAGACTGGGACATTTTTCCCCTGAAGCGTGGGAGGCTGAGGGATGACCTTATAGAGGTTTATAAAATTATGAGGGACATAGATAAGGTGAATAGCTAACATCTTTTCCCCAGGTTAGGAGAGTCCAAAGCTAGAGGGGATAGGTTTAAGTGAGTGGAGAAAGATTTAAAAGCAACCTGAGGGGCAATTTTTTTCACACAGAGGGTGGTTTGTGCATGGAACAAACTACCAGAGGAAGTGATAGTTACAGGTACAGTTACAACATTTCAAAGACATTTGGACAGGTACATGTATAGGAATGGTTGAGAGGAGTATGGGCCAAATGCAGCCAAATTGGACTAGTTCAGTTAGGGATATTTGGTTGGCATGGATGAGTTGGACCGAAAGTCTGTTTCTGTGCTGTAAGACTCTATGCCTAGAGATGGGCATTCCACCTCTCACTCGGGAGAATATCCAGCTTTTAAGAGGTGTCAGCCTATCTGATTGACCAGTCGAGAACGGCAGCTCTGTTACCTCAGCAGCACCAGTAGCAGTAGTGACCAAGTTAAGAACTACAAGCAATCCCCAGATTCCCAGTTCCAGGGCCAGATTAAATGAAGAGAGGAGGCTCATGCAATGGGATCGGGTGGGGAAGTGAGGGCTTTGGGGCACGGGAGAAAAGGGATAGTGTCTTGATGGGGAAGCCAGTGGACATGGAGCACCCACCTTGTGTGAACACGCGGTGAGTAAAAAGGGTCCCAACCCTTCATGCATGAAGGGGGACCTCCTTCCACCAGCCTCCAGATTGGCCAAAGGTCTCATTTGGCACCTCATGATTGGACAAAGGTGAGGACAGTGAGAATGCCACTGGGAAATTCTTCACGCCCCCTGTGGATAGTGGGAGAGCTGTGACATTTTCTC